AGAGAGAGAGAGAGAGAGAGAGAGAGAGAGAGAGAGAGAGAGAGAGCATACATGAAGAAGGCCAGGAGGGACAGAGAGAGAGAGAAGACAGAGAGAAAGAAAGAGAGAGTGAGCCAGGGAGAGAAGAGAGTTTTAGATGAGGATGCTGGTATTGGGTTGTGGAATTCTGCGCTTTTGAGCGCTTGGTGACTGGATCTCCGGAACTGTTTAATGTGATAATTTGTTGGAATTTCTAAGCTGCGCATATCTGGACTTTGCATCTCTGGACTCTCAGTGTGGATTTTGTGTGATCCCTCGATGTGTGTGTGTGTGCGCAAGGTGTCGAGCAGTGAGGCTCAATGCAAACACAAGGAGAAAGACATCCGCTTTGCGTTGTCCTTTGAACAACAGAGGCTCCGTGTTTTGCCATAGACCTCCGAGCCTGTTATTGCCGAGCCTGAATCTCACTGCACTCCGAGTTTGCCTAGCCTGGGTCCCACCCCATTTTCTTTCTGGTACTCTCACGTGTTATGATCCTGGCCAATTTCGAAGTACACATTCAGGAGAAAGTACAATGTCGTCCAATTGCAAAAAGAAATAAATGAAGTTCGATGAACTTGAGAGGCGAGAGAGGGAAAGCAGAAGAAAAAGACGAAAGAAAGAAGAAGAAGAAGATGTACACCAGCGAAGAGCAATGATAATTCCCTTCCTTCGCCAACCACTTTCCTCCTCCTTTTTCCCTCCCCTCTTATTCAAACAATAAATAATAATAATGTTGAATGGTTGAACCAGAATCAATGTCCCAATCCCTCTTCTACTGCGGGTACCACATGAGGTCCACCATAGTGATGGCCCCCCTTCTCCTTCCTCCTCAAAGGCCGAGGCTATGGCAGACTACCAGGGCCTAGGACGACACAACGCAGCTATGGCTGCTCCTGTTTAGGCCGCCAGGCCTGACTCTGCCTCGAAGCTTCTTGGTGCAGCTCTACCCCAGTGGGGCCTTCCAGATGCAGCGTCCACCAAGGTGATGAAGATGGCGACCACCATAGCCAGGTAAGTCTACTGACACTCCCCTATACTAGCCTCCTCCTTCCTCCTCCTGCCCGGCTCCTTCCACCATAGCCAAGGTGGAGGGCTGGGCGCTCCTCCTTCCCCAAGCGCTGCTTGCTGCTAGCGCTGGTCCGCCGGTTGCTCCAGCAGCGTGTCACCAAACTTGCATGCCAACAAATGAGGAGGAGCACTTCGCTCCTCCTGGAGATATAGCAGCCTGCTTGCCTCTTGGGCAGTGACTTCCTAGGTCGTGCGGCCTCCAAGCAACCGGTACGTCCTCCCTTTCAGAGGGAAACATCATTGCAGTCTATGTTATTGCCCGTACAAGCCCTAGCGTCAGACTGGTTGGGCCTCAGACTGGTTGGACTAGTACCCGCCTAGACCTAGCCTACAACTACTGGGCCTCTAAAAATGGCAACTTTTGTCTTCTTCTGCTCATCCTTGAGTACCCAGCACATCTACCTCTACTTGGTGTGGTACCGGCCTACCTGCTACTTGATTGTTTTTCCACTGCTGTAAGTGTCGCGAGCCTCTTTCCCCGCCACTAGAGTGTTTTCCCCGCTGCAACCCTCAATGTCACGGCCACAGGTAAATACTGGCCCCTTGGGCCTCCCGTACGGACAGGTACCCTTGCGGGTCGCACACACACTCGATCGACAAGCACTCAAACAGGCATTCAGACCAGCAAGCACGCACACACACAGCCTTGGAAAACTCAGCAACAAGCGGGAAACTCAGCAAGGCATACATTCCATTAGCAAAACTCAGAAATCAGTTGTGTCTCAGTCTGTGTTTGGCAGGTCCTTACACTAACCCCCCCCTCAAGAGCGAGGTCCCTTCAAGAGAGTAATTCATTCTGAGTCATTGACAAACACGTCGTAAGCAAACAGAGCGAAGAGATTCCGTGAGTACTTAGTGGGAGTGAGTTTTGCAGAGATTTTGGGGACAGCATAGGAAGCTATATGCCGTTCGTATGCTTTCA